CTACTACTACTACTACTACGACGACTACTACTACTATTCAGACTACTACTACTACTACTACTACTACTACTACTACTACTACTACTACTACTACGACTACTACTACTACTACTACTACTACTACTACTACTACTACTACTACTACTACTACTACTACTACTACTACTACTACTACTACTACTACTACTACTACTACTACTACTATTACTGCGACCTACGACCTACGACCACCTGCGACTAACACTCCAGAGCCAGGGGGGCATCCGAACACCATACCATTTGCGCAGTTTCGTGCCCGCCCCGCACCCCTCCAGGAAGGCCCCGACAGAGCAAGGGAGGTATCGGAACACCATACGGGTTACATTGTTTCGTGCCAGTCCCACCTCTCCGGAGAGGCCCCGCCAGAGCGAGGAACGTCTCGGAACACCATACTTTTTACACGGTGTCGCGCCCATCCCACTCCCACCCTTACAGAGAGGCCCGCTAGAGCGAGGAGGGTATCGGAACTGCCCTTCCAAGGAGGCCCCGCCAGAGCCAGTATGGCGCCGGAACAGCATACTATTTACAAAGTTTCGTGCCCCTCCCGCCCCGCCAGGGAGGCCCCGCCAGAGCGAGGAGGGCATCGGGACAGCATATCATTTACACGGTGTCGTGCCCTTCCCTCCCCTCCAGGGAGGCCGAGGCCCCGCCAGAGCGATGAAGGTATCAGAACACCATACTTTTAATACATTATCGAGCCCCTCCCACCCTTCGAGGGAGGACCCGCCAGAGCGAGAAGGGTGCCCACACGTCACAGTATGTTCACGGTGTCGTGCCCCTCCCGCTCCACCAGGGAGCCCCGCCAGAGCGAAGAGAGCATCGGAACACCATACTAGTTTCCCAGTTTCGTGCCTTGTCCCGCTCCTCCAGGGAGGCTCCTCCATTGAGGCCCTTGACACAGCCCACAGAGGCCCCGAGCACACCCACAGAGGCATCGCAACGCTGCCCACGCAGGCCCCACACGCAGCCCACAGAGGCCCCGAGCGCGCCCACAGAGGCCCGCCACACTGCCCACCGAGGCCCCTGACACAGCCCACTGAGGCACCACCACGCTGCCCACTGAGGCACCACTGACATCCTTCTGTGGGGAACCCTGGTAGCGTAATCTACTAATTTTCGGCGTCGCCTTCCTCATCTTCACGACCGCCATCATTACCATCATCACGGATCTGCTTCCTCCGTCAGCGTTGAGATTGGCTATTATCCTCACGATCGTCGTAGTTCTCTTCCTCCTCCTCCCTATCCTTCTCCGACCCCCCTCGACGACGAGGGCGGCGACGACGAAATCGGCGGCAGCGACGACGACTGTGAGGACGGACCACGGTGACGACGGCGGCGAAGGCTACATCCCCCGCCCGCCCGCCGTCGTCTTCGTCATCCTCGACGTAGTCGCCGTCGCCGTCCCTGTCGCCGTCGTCGCCGCCGCCGCCACCGTCCTCGTCGTTGTCGCCGTCGCCGTCGCCATCGCCGTCGCCATCGCCGTCGCCGTCGCCGTCGCCATCACCGTCGTCGCCGCCGCCGCCGTCATCGTCGTCGCCCTCGTTGTCGTTGTGCGCGCCGAGGGGCCGCCCGAAGGGTCGCCTGTGGCACCCCGAGCGCAGGAGCTCCAGAGAGCCTCAGAGATCATCGACGGCGTGCTCGCGGGCCTCCGGCGGACGCTGGAGGCCGATCGCGGCGGTTGAGGATTGTCGGGCGCGGCGCTGCGCGCGCGCGCGTGCCGCGCCGATCGGCCTCTTCGAGGCTCGCGGCGTCGCCGCCGCCACCGTCGTTGCCGCTGTCGTTCGGGACGATCGACATGGGTACGGGAAGAATGGACACAATGCCCAAAAGCAGTTCCTGTTCATTCTGAGCAGGGCTCGCTGTCCGCGCCGCCGCGGCCTGTGTCCATTCGAGACAGAAGGCCGCCTGCCCAACAGCGGCCGTTGTTGCTTTGGGCCGTACTAATTTTGGGCGTCCCAAGTCGTCGCCGCCGTCGCCGTCATCATCGTTGTCGTTGTGGTTCTCGTCGTCGTCGTCGTCGTCTTCGCAGTCGCCTTCGCCGTCGCCCTCGTCGTAAGAGAGGATGAGACGAGGAGAAGGAGGAGGAGGAGGAGGAGGAGGAGGAGGATCAGAGGTCGACCTAAACGGTGTTTTGGCGATTTCGTTTGCTGTTTTGCAACAAAGGCAGATTGGAGACAAAACGAAGAAAAACTATAATTGCCCTGGCGAAAGACCCAACCATATGCACCTGTGAGTGCCGCGTTGTGGGTACCGCTCTCGGTGGAGCTCCCTGTGGGGCCACGATCCTCGTGAGGGGTGTGCCGAAATGGACGGGGGGGGCGCATGCGGACCCTGCCGCGGGGAGCCTTCGGTGGAGCTCCCTATGGGGCCACGATCCTCGTGAGGGGTGTGCCGCAATGAGCGGGGGGACGCATGCGGACCCTGCCGCTGGGGCCTTCGGTGGAGCTCCCTATGGGGCCACGATCCTCGTGAGGGGTGTGCCGAAATGGACGGCGGGACGCATGCGGACCCTGCCGCTGGGGCCTTTGGTGGAGCTCCCTATGAGGCCACGATCCTCGTGAGGGCTGTGCCGAAATGGTCGGGGGAACGCATGCGGAACTTGCCGCAGTGGCCTTCGGTGGAGTTCCCTATGGGGCCACGATCCTCGTGAGAGGTGTGCCGAAATGGGCGGGGGGACGCATGCGGACCCTGCCGCTTGGACCTTCGGTGGAGCTCCCTATGGGGCCACGATCCTCGCGAGGGGTGTGCCGCAATGAGCAGGGGGACGCATGCGGACCCTGCCGCGGGGACCTTCGGTGGAGCTCCCTATAGGGCCACGATCCTCGTGAGGGGTGTGCCGAAATGGACGGCGGGACGCATGCGGACCCTGCCGCTGGGGCCTTTGGTGGAGCTCCCTGTAGGGCCAAGACCCTCGTGAGGGGTGTGCCGAAATGGGCGGGGGGACGCATGCGGACCCTGCCGCTGGGGCCTTCGGTGGAGCTCCCTATGGGGCCACGATCCTCGTGAGGAGTGTGCCGAAATGAGCTGGAAGACGCATGCGGACCCTGCCGCTGGGGCCTTCGGTGTAGCTCCTTATGGTTCCACGATCCTCGTGAGGGGTGTGCCGAAATGGTCGGGGGGACGCATGCGGACCCTGCCACTGGGGCCTTCGGTGGAGGTACCAGCAACACAAGGGGCACCCGAATCTCAGCATCTTCAGCTTTCTCCATTGACAGCCATCAGGGACTGATGCAGACGCCAGCCGGGTGCCCGACGCACGCGAAGTGCGCTGCACGTGCCAGGTGTGCAAAGGGGAGCAAGTACGCCACATTGGGCAATACGTCGGCGTCCCCACCATCCCTGCAAAGTTACGGCGGATGTACCAGCACTGTGTTTTGTGGTTGGGGGTCTGCACGCGCTATCACGCTGCATGTGTTGTTGACATGGATGGTGGACCTGCGCGCCGCAGAGAATATGCCCCGCCGCCGTCTCTGTCAAAGCGATCGCGGGGCGCCCGTGCGTGATCAAGATGTTGGTGCAAATTGTATGCTGCACTGCTTTATCTCAAGGGATGGTGGGGTGCGTGGCCCTGCACACAGCAGGCAATATGCCGCCCCTCCGCCGCCTCTGTCAAAAACCGATGCAAATTAATCGTGGTGCGTCCGCGCATGATCCAGATGTTAGTGCTATGTGCACTTCGTTTTGTTTTGTGCAGGGACGGAAGGGAGAGGGTCGGCGTTGGCCCGGGTTTGTCGCAGATCGGGCGGGGGAGCGGGGGAACATTTTATAAGGAGCTATGATCCATTTCTCCCCGAAGGGGATGAAGGGGAATAGGAAACGCCCTAAAACACTTACGCCCTAAAGGGCGTAGGTGGGATGATTTGTTCTCCTCCTCCTCCTCCTCCTCCTCCTCCTCCTCCTCCTCCTACCCTAAGCCTCCCCCCTGCCTCCCCCCTCTCCCCCTCCGCCTCTCCCGATGGCCTAGCAAGCGAGCCAGGGGCGCTCCCTCCGGACCAGACCTGGAGCCTGGGGGGGATGAGACCCAGATGGAGTATCAGCGGCAAGGTGTCGATGTGGAGCTTTGGCGGCAAAGTAGTTTTGACGGAACGACCCGTTCTGCTTTCTCTCCATCGCATTCACACCTCATGCGGTGGTGGATTCTAGTACTGGTCGTTTTGGGCCAGGGGTTTCAACGCCACACCGCTTGCCGCTTCCACTTGCAAGGGCAGTCTCCCGTTCCCCCGTTCCTCCTCCACCCCCCCCTTGATCCTGTTCACGCACAAGACGGGTTCGTGTGCACTGTTTCCCTAGCGCGCCTGTTGATTCTGGCAAAGCGAGCGATTTTTGTTTAGGCGATCTGGCTGCAGGACACAAGTTTCGACAGGACGACTCCGTTAGGCGAAAGTTGCACAATGTGTTGACGTGCTCGTACATGCCAAGCCCAAAAGATTCGCACAATTCCCTTGGGTCCTTATGTTGATCTGCCTGGCTTCTCGGCTCAAGATGTCTCCGAGAGGGCCACCGCAGGTTCACAGAGTGGGGCACTCACAAGAGATCCCCAAGAGCCTCCAAGAGGGCCCCTGACGCTCCCAAAATGAGGCGCTCGAAAGGGCCTCGTCTTCCCGGGATCGAGAAGTTGATTTCGCATCATGTGGCCATTTAATCCGGCGGCGGTTTTCAAGTCGCAGCGCCTTGTGTCGAGGAATCGGAAGTTGATTTCTCTTCCTCGGCGGAAGGTGACGGAAGGCCCGCGGAAGGCGGCGGAGATAATTACAACGAAGGCGGGTCCATCGGCAGAAGCCGGCGGAAGACCAGCGGAAGTTGGCGAAAGCCAGAGAAAAGAAACGCCCCGAAGAGATGCTAGCTAGCATTTGTTGGTTCAGGGTTGTTGAGAATCGGTCATGTAGGGCTCGGTACCGTCTGACCTGACCCAAGTCTTCTTGGATTGTGGCATATCAGCCCCGCCAGTTTATTTCACCAGGTGGGACAGGCCCCGCGAAGTTTCGGGGATCAGCATCTATCCCCATCTAGGGGGGTAAATCGGTCAACGGGGCCACGGCCATGCCGGTGGGGATGGGGACGAGCGAAACGATGCTCGATGGCGCTGGAGGGCCTGGTCTTCGGCGCGGCTCGACTTCAGCAGAAGTCAGCGGAGGCCAGCGTCAGGAAAGTGGCGACGGTTCCGCCGGCGGAAGCTGGCAGCTGCAAAGGAGGCCCCCACCCCGAGAGATATTTGTTTCTCAGCCATCCTGTGGTGGTGGGTCCTCGTTTTGAATTCGCAGCGCCGCGCCGCAAGCATCATCGTCACCATGACCACCATCGTCTTCGTCGTCAAAGTTGTCGTCGTCATCGCCGTCGTCGTCACGACACGTTTCTTAGCCCCACGGGGAGCTCCACCGAGGGCCGCATGGACAGCGCCCGCTCGCCCATCCCGGCACACATCTCACACGCTTCGTGGCCCCACAAGGAGCTCCACCGAAGGCTCCATTGGCAGCGCATGCATGCGCCCCCCCCCCCCCCCCTGGCTCGTGGCGGCACCCCCCTCACACGCTTCGTGGCCCCATGAGCTCCACCGAAGGCCCCGGCGGCAGCGCCCGCATGACGGCACCGCACCCATGTCAGCACACCCCACCAGACGCTTCGTGGCCCCATGGAGAGCTCCACCGAAGGCCCCAGTGGCAGCGCACGCATGCCCCCCCCCCCCCCGGCCCACTTCGGCACCCCCCTCACACGCTTCGTGGCCCCACAGGGAGCTCCGCCGAAGGCCACAGTGGCAGCGTCCACATGGCGGCACCGCGCCCACTTCGGCACACCCCTCGCGCGCTTCGTGGTCCCAGTGGCAGCTCCACCGAAGGCCCCAGTGACAGGGCCCGCGTGCGTTGTTGCCCCAGCCCATTTCGGCACACCCATCACACGTTTCGTGGCTCCGTTAACAGTTCCCCGTCGTTCGCCAGATGTGTTTGGTGATTCAGGGTTCTTGAGCGGGCCATGTGTGGATTTGCGTGTTTGAGTTCCTTTCTCCATGAGTGTCTGAGTACGAGCGAGCGAGTCTGAAAGTGAATGAGGCTGCACATGTATGAGTCCGATGACCTATGAATTTTAGTGCCCATAAATCGGATGAATGGAATTTGGCGCGATTGGGTGTGAATACATTGGGGTCTGAGTGCGAGTGGGATTGCGTGTGAGTTAATAGGACCATGAGTGAGTCTGGGCATCCAGGACTGAGAATGTGTGGGGAGTGAGAACATTGTGTTGCTTCCTGCCGCTTCCCGCTCTCGGCCGCTTTCTATCTCTCTCTTTCCCCCTGGTGCTCATGGCCGTTCCCTTTCGCTCGCAGCCGCCCCCTGCCGCTCTCTGCCGCTCGCAGCCGCTGTCTGCTGCTCTCAGCTGCTCTCCAATGCTCTCTGCCCCCTCCCGCTGCTCTCCGATGCTCTCTCCCGCTCTCAGCTACTCTCTACTCTCTGCTGTGCGGGTGTGCTAATGCCCATTGGCACAATTCGCGATCAGGCTCACCCACGAGCAACACATCATTTTAGGTGCCGCGCCCTGCGCGGGCAATTTCTGCGTGGTTGCGCCATGTGTTCCCTCTTCTTCTTAGTTATGCCTTCTTTGCTGTGCTTTGCTGCTTTCTAACGCTCTCTGCGCGTCGCTTCTGTTCGCATTCGTTCGCTACGGTTATTTGATCGCTTCGCTCACTCCGCTGGCCCGTATTGTACCATCGCAGGCGTTTGCCTGCGTTCTTGGCATCTTGAAGGCCGTTCGGGGACCTCTTGGAGCCTCTTTTTGGGCCTCTTGGCGGTATTTCTGGGACATCCTGGGACGTCACGGGGGCCTCTTGTGGGTCTCTTGGGGCCTCTCGGGGGCCTCTCTTGGTCTAGAGCTGGAACTGTCCGTTCGGGTCCCTCGTCTGGGCCCGCTCTTGGAGCCGCCTTGGGAGCCTCTTCGGCCATCTTGGAGGCCTCCGGGGCTGTCTGGGGGCCCTCTAGGGCCGTTTTGGGCGCTCTTGGAGGCCTCTTGGGCCGTGTTGGGGCGATCCTAGAAGTCTCTTGGGCTGTCTTGGAGCGCCGGTAAGCCGAACAGGCGAGAACGCCAAAAACAACATTGAAGGCAAATCACTAATTTCTGCCTCTGTGGGCCTTCTTGGGAGGTCTCTTGGAGGCCCCTCTGTGGGCCTTCTTGGGAGGTCTCTTGGAGGCCTCTTGGGGCGTCTAGAAGGCGCTTTGGGCTGTCTAGAGGCCATCTTTGGCGTCTTGGATCGCTCTTGGACCGTCTCGGACAATGCTGAGCTCTCTTGGAGACCACTTGAAGCGCTCCTGGCTGGGAACTGCCCAGGACCTGCCCGGGACCTTGCCCAGACTTGCCAGGGACCTTGCCCGAGTACTTTTCGTTCGGGAACCCCAGGGGCGGCCCCGCGCGTGCGAACTAGAGATACTGTTAACCAGTTACCGGAGATCTTAGCACGCCTTTGGCCCGTTGGGCCGGCGAATTTTGATGTTATGTGCCGCTCTCTGCTGCGCTCTGTCACATGCTGCCGCGCTCTGCCGCTCTCTGCTGCTCTCTGTTGCCTTCTGCTGCTTTCTGATGCCCATTGCCGTTATGTTCCTCTTTCTCTCTACCTCTCCTCCTCCTCCTCCTCCTCCTCCTCCTCCTCCTCCTCCTCCTCCTCCTCTTCCTCCACCTCCTCCTCCAGCTCCTCCAACTCCTCCAACTCCTCCCTCCTCCTCCGCCTCCGCGGTGGCCATGCGGCTCCGCGGCGTTCTACCCGAAGCGGGCGTTCTACCCGCGAGGTCCCGCCAGTATGTGTGCGCCCGAGGCCGTGGGCCACCCCTGGTCCACATTCCCTTGTGCGACGTCTGCTACGCTGCGGTGACGGAAGGAAGTGGAGGCGGCACGAGGAAATCGAAGTCCGCGCGAGGGGAGAAAACCGAAAACCAGCCGCGTGAAACAATTCCGCCGCAGGAGTGACATCGGGCCAAGAGTAGGTTGAAGCCCTACACGCCGCCACGCTGGTCCTGGGCAGGCGCGCGCCTCGGCTTCGAGGCTAGGAGGGGCTCCTCTGCGAATCCCAGCGCATCCACCGCCTGGCACGGCGGGCCGGACGGCGGCCGACGCCGCGGCACCAGAGGCCGCGGGAGAACGTTGATGCGCTCAGGCGGAAGGGCACCATGCTCGTTGAAGCGCCATGCTGCCAGCGCGGCGGTGCGACCATAGACCCTTGGTCAGGCGTGCAAGGTGGAGTCAGGGCTTCAGCGCGCGGTCGGGAAGCTGTTTCTCGCCCAGGAGCGGCGGGAGGCACGCGCCCGCGGCAAGCTCGAGCTTTGGGAGGTGGCGCTTTTCCCACGGCGGCGAGCGCAGCGGGCAGTGGCCGTCCTTCACTGGCACGCCGCCCTGGGCCCTCCCCTTTGGCTCGAATTCTGGTCGTGGTGGCGCTCTGCGAGGCGCTTCGGCGGCGCACAGCCAGCTTGTTCTGCGGCCTCGAGGACGGCGAATCAGTGGAGCACGCCACGGTGCGCCGCGCGCTTGCCGAGTTCGGGGCGGACTGCCTGCGGCTGCCTTTCTGGAGAGACAGCAAAGCGCAGCGGCTGGACATCTCGCTGCTGGAGTCGCAGTCCGAGCTCGCGGAGGCTCGGCTGACGCTCGGGGCTCTGCGAGTAGATGCTGCGTGCCAAGTGCGCTGCAAACTTCGTTTTCAGCGAGCGGCACCGAGCGGCGAGCACGCGGTGCGCCGCGCGCTGGAGAAAGCCGCCCGGGAAGCCGCGCAAGGGCATCGCGGGGCCGCTGTGGTGTTAGACACGCGGTAGCGGTGAGCCTCTGAGTCGTTGGCAACTGGCGCGCTCCGGTGGCCCTATCCTCGGCCACGCGGCTGGGACAGCAGGTGGCGCCGACGCGCAGTGGGGGCAGGATTTGCCCTCTTGCTTTTGGTCGCGATGGAGCATCGACGCGGCTGGCAGCCCATTGGCGCCAGCCACGCGACCCCCCCCCCGCCCCCTTGATTATGGGGGTGGAACCTGAGACAGTCGCGGCGGCTGCACGGCGGCTGCATTGATAGCTGTTGATGGCGGCGGCTCGGTGGTCACATGCCTGTGGAAAGGCTGCCCGAGGTGCGCAGACAGTCGTACACACTTTGTCTTAATTGTCCGTTTCTCCTCCTCCCCTCCCTGCTTTCTGCTCCCACTTGGTGCGGCTGCACTGGTGGTTGCACGCTGGCCGAGGCCGCTCCCTCGCCCTGCATTGCCCGATTATGCAGGCCGTTCTGGTTATTTTGCGCCCGCCTGAGGTCTGCACACTGTTTCGGGCGAGGTATGGCCTTTTTGTTGGCCGCCCGAGATCATCCTGATTCTGGCGCTCTTCGCACCCAGATTGATAGCACTGCTGTGTCCCATCCGTGCTCGGGAGCCGGCCGAGCGCGCCATTTCAGTTCATGCACGTTTGAGCTCGTAACTGTTGCGAGTGTCTCACTTGTTCCTCCTTGGGTTGGTGATTCCCCTTCTCTACTTGTTCTCCCGCTGTGGCAGGTTGGGAAGTTGGCCTTTATTCCTACCATATGCTACGTGTTATTCCGTACTGCGGTTCCTTGCGCGTTGTGGTGCGATGCCCCATTCCATGAAGGCCAATGTGTCATATGTGGACGAGCACGCGCCACGGTCAAATGCATCCGCACTGGCCCAGATGTGTGTTCCTCTCCCTCCTTCCTTTCTCTCCTTTCTCCTCCCTTCCCTTTTCCCCCTCTTCCCGCGACTGTCACTTGCGGGTCAGAGCCGGTGACTCTGAGGTGCAGCCTAATACCGGACTTGACGCAGTTCGCCAGATTACCATTGAGTCCTTCGCATCGTGATGCGATGTATTGTCACGAGTTGCAATGCACGTGGTTCGTTGTGTTCGTTTGTCCGCGTATCGCGCGTATGGGATAGCCCCCCCTGAGGGGCAGCGGATTTCATGATGAACTGTTCACGATTGTTTCCGTGAAGTCCGGGTGCGTGAATCGGAGCACGGATGAATGTGGTATGATTGGGTGTGGATGATTGAACATGATGATTACGGGCGCACGCGAGTATGATTGGTTGAGCGTGAATAGGCTTGACCATGAGTGGGTCTGAATGGAATGGTCGAGTACAAGGGACCCTGAGCATGAGTGAGTCCGCGTGGAGTGGCTGAGTATCCGCGGGCGCGGGCGCAAATTTCAGCTCTTATCCCAGCGATGCTGGGTATGCCGCGGTCGGCGCCTTTTTAGGGGAGCGCGCGGAGTTCGGCCAGAACTGGCGCGTTTTTCAGAAGGGGCCTCGCCTTTGGCACGTCGGCAGAAAGCCCGCGGAAGGCGGCGGAAGTAAACGCTGGTCGCTGAAAATATGTGAGGCGTTCCAGGAACGGCATCGCCTTCGAGGATAGAAAAAGTTGGCATCTCTTCCGCCGCAAAAGGCGCCGGAAGGTCGGCAGAAGTAGAACGAGGCCGCCTCCGCCAGCGGAGGCCGGAGGAAGGGCGGCGGAAGGTGGGGGAAGTAAAAGTCGATTTCCGAAGAAATGCCAGCATTGTTGGGTTCAGGGCTTCCGGAATCGGCCATGTATTCTGGACTCCCAGATCCCAATCTATTTCAAGCGCCTTCATACTTCAAGGGAAATGTTGTTGCTCTGTGTTGATATTCTTTGGGCGGGTCCGAACGCACTCTACTTAATCCGCCTTCCCACGTCATGTATCCACCTACTTCTGGCTGACTGTAGACTGGCGGCGGGTCCGGCGGCGAAAGCCCGGCGGAAGCTCGGCGGAAGTTACGGCGGGTTGCGGCGGATGTCAACGGCTTGTTTCTGGAGTCGGACATGCGTGAGTCCAGACGTGAGTGATTCTGGCTACGAGGTGTGTCACCGATGACAAGATCCTTGAAGTTCTGATGGGGCGAGTAGCAGCCTGGCCCATCGCACCAAGGACCAGAAACACAGACGTCACGCAAACATTGACCCTTTTCTGAACGGGAACTTGATCCACGGCGCCCGCCGACCCAAGTCAAGCAGACGAAGAAGCATGACTCATGGCATGACCATGCCTTCAGCCACAAGCCAAGGCATAAGCAAAGGGAGCAGTCCCTGACGGCATGGCCTCGGTACAGCGTGATATCAGGTAAGTTCAGGTCTTGTTGTAGGTTGGCAAGCAGACATACCATTATGTGGTCAGGCACGTGATAGGTGACAAACTGGATTGCGAGGAGAATGCTGCGCGAACTTCGCTGTTGACATTGCCATCCCCTCTACATCATCTTTTCCAGTTGGGCGAGCATTTTTGCTTGAGGCCATCCGTAGTGCGTATTTTCTGTTAGCTCAGCACCCAGTGCCTTCATTAGAAGACTAGATTGTCAGACGGATGGTATTCCGGTCAAGGCACGCCGTGTTTCAGCTTAGCGTAGGCCTGAGAAAAGGCGCACTCGTAGGTTGTTAAGCTCGATGCCGAGAACTCGGGCTTGGAGCAGCGAAGACTGAAGCAGCGTAGACTTCTGAGAAAAGTCTGTATACCTCACAGGATCAGCCTGCCGATGATTGACGTTGCGCGGGTTCTTTTACAAATCTAGGCCTCCAAGATGGGGTCGGAGGGTCGGGCCGCATCGCCGACACGGCTCGATGTGGAGGAGCCAGATTGTCTCCACGCTGCCGGCGCCGATGCATCGCCGACGTCGCTGGTGCATCGCCAACGCATCGGCAATGCATCGCCGATACATCGGCGACGCGGCGCGATCCTCCGACCGCAATGACTCCGACCCCATTCAAGAGGCCTCCTTCAAAGCTCACCGAATGTCCAGCTGCTTGATTCCATACGCATGTCAATATATCTCCGCACCGAGCGCTCTAGACCGAGCCTGATGCTTCCACGCTGTGCATATGTCGAAGTGGGGTGCAGGAGAGAAGAGAAGTAGACCGAGGAGCAAAGACATTGAAGTGCACGAGGGGGCAAGTCCCGCAAGGAAGCGTATCAAGTTCTCGAAAGTGGTTCGCCTGCCGATGTCGTTGCGTCCATCGATCATGTGATTTCGAAATGCCGTAACAACACAAGCGAAATCCGTAGACCGCATGGCCAGGAACATTCAGGGGGTAATCAGGCGATCGCTACTTGAGAGGCCGTTTTGCACAGGACACGGCCCCCTCCTCTTCCG